ATATCCTTCTCCTGCCACGCCCACCAAACCGATAGTAAACAGTTTTGAAACCCACCACTGCATGGAATGCTGTTACCTTCCTACCAAAGATGGTCCCTATTTTGCAAGTTATTCTACTAGGGATTCAAACTGCTGAACTGCCAACCTTTCGATTGACAAGCTCAGCATCTTAGCTACTGAGCCACCGCTCAGCTCAATAAAGTACCCAACCCTAATCCACATATCAAAGTATAAGGTCTGCAAACACAACCAGAATTAATTAAATTAGATCTCCCAGAGGAACTGCATGTTCACACACACACACACACACACACACACACACACACACGTCACCCTAGAATCAGCACATAGACACTTTCACACCCTGGACAAGTTCCTCCTATAAAAATCTGCTGCTGTATCTCATTTCTCTACAGCCTGCCCTTATATTTCTTTCCTCACAGCTGTCTGGATCTCATTTTTATTTATTCTTCTGCAACCCCAAATTATTCTTCTGACAATATCAAATGTCTCTTTCTATAACCCTCATACAAGGACTGAAACTAAAGTTGCAACCCAAACTGGATTAGACCAGGGGAAACCCCTAAATTTTTGGAGGGAAAATGTTTGGAAAGAACCAGGTAATGGCAGCATGAAGTTGCCTTAGCTGAACTTAAAAAAAAATATCTAAGTAGGATCAGACCTGGATAATACATGGAGGGAGATCACCAGAAAATCTCAGGTCATACGCTAGATGAGAAGTTGAAAAAATATTCTAGAGAACACAAAAACAAATCCCTTACATTTTCTGCTGAGAAAATAAATGGCTGCCAAGATGAACAAGAAAATCTACCTTATCTTGGGGCATTTTAAGTGTACCCAAAGGGACGCTACAGGACAGGATTCTGGTGGAGATTTGAGCTTCAGATGCTCCCTTTGCTCAGTTCCCTCAACGCCTCCAGAAACAGGTGTCAGCACCCAGATCCTCGAACCAAAATATCACACTCACACATAGGCACGTACCCAAACACACACTAGCTTCTGTGCAAGATGCTTCCCACCAAAAACCTACCCTGCTCCTGCTTCCCCACAATAAACAGCCCCGGAGGCGGGTGTGAAAATGCTTCCAGGAATAGCAGCCAAAGACAGAAATGTGCCATGAAAATTTCACATGTGGACAGTCGGTGCGTGGCTGAATAGGGACTCAAGAGAGGGGAGGCCAGAAGGGAGCAGGGTTGGCAAAGTTGGACATGAAATCATCATTTTGAGAGATTCCCTATTGCTCCTTCCCCATCAGCCTGCCACACTTCCAAATGCCAGGTATGTCGTGTGGAGCGGCTGGGACAGAAACAAAATGTCACTTGCCACTTAACCGGCAGCTGCATTTTAATCAGGCTACTAATAATACGAAAGAGACATCTCAAGATTGTCTTTTCTTCCCACTTCTGCCTGCCATCTACAGCAGGACTTGGGGGGAGGTCTCAGTTTGAGGAGGGAATAAAAGTTGGGGTTCAAGATCGTTGACACAACGAGACCTCTCTCCCCATCACTTCGACTGCTCATCTGCTTAATTAAACTCACGGCACTCCAGTCCCTGATTCCCCTCTTCCTTCACAACTTGACAGATAGCGGAGAAAATTAATGGCTGGAGAGGGAATTAAATTGATTCTTTTTCTCACTGCGGCTGGGTGACAAATCCACCATAGATTCCAGAGTTGTCTGTCTGCGATGTTAGAGACCACTGCAGCCACCGCCAGACAAGGCGGCTGGGATTGAAATGATCCAGTGCCCCCTAGAGGGGAAGACCCCCAAATCTTACTTTGTCACTGCTTTTTCTCACATGTCCAGGGCCCCTTTTCGTCTCTCTAGGAGTGCCAGTGTAAATGTAGTTAATGCAAGCTTCTATCTGAACAAAAGGGGGTGCAATGTACAGAAGAGTCAAGCAATGTTTTTCATTTACTATTTTTTTTAATCCACAACTATAATTTTTTTAATGTATCATAGAAAATGTATAAGCTTTATTGGATAGACCAAAAGCATTTAATTTCAGGGAAATGGGGTCATCCAGCTTGCTTTGGGAAGCTCCCAAGCAGAACATGAAATTAACCACATGTGCAGTGCACATATACACACACATAATAAGTAGCTATCATAACTACGAGCCATAGTAATTTATTATTTTTTATTAGATTTTTCCACCTTTATTACTTTATAAGTATCACAAGGTAGTGAACATACATAATACTCCTTCCTCCCCCACAATAAAAACCCTGTGAGGTGAATTGGGCTGAGATAGACTGATCCAAAATCACCCAGTCAGCTTTCATGCCTAAGGCAGGACTAGAACTCACCGTCTCCTGGTTTCTAGACCTTAACCATTAGGCCAAACTGGCTCTCTGTAAATAAATACAGTAAATAGTTATGCTCAATAAATGGATCGAAACTTCTTTGTCTAAGTGGACAGCCAAAATTCAGCCTTGTGGAACGAAGTGTCATCATTTGAGTGTGTGCAGTGTGAAGTCATCGCTTTTGCAGTTCTTACTTTTAAAAAAATGTCCAACTATACAAAAATAGCATGCTGCTTCCTCAGAGATAAGGACTTTCAGCCAAGCAATACTTTAACTTCTGTTGATTCAGTCTGTTGGAGGAACCGTTGATTTGGCTACAGAAACAAATATACATGCACGGACTTGTTCCAGAAAGGAGCTGAAGAATTTCCTCGGGGATGTAATGATACAAAGAATTATATCATTAAACTCACACATATATATACAAAACAGTTGCTGGCATCCATGCACAAAAAGATCACAATTTCCAAGGTTTCTTTATTCAGCTCTTTGTACTCTTGAGATTATCTCCATGTCCAGTTATTCTAAAGCAGTGTTTTTCAGCCTTGGTTGGCAGCTTGAAGATGTGTGGACTTCAACTCCCAAGAATTCCCTAGCCAACTATGCTGGCTAAAGAATTCTGGGAGTTGAAATCCACACATCTTCAAGCTATTAAGGTTGAGAAATGCTGCCTAAGTAGCAGGTCCCATGATTGTCTTACTGGGATTATGTGTGTCACAATCCAGCCATATGTCCAAGGAGTTGACTGATATATACGGATTAATTTATATTGTTGCTTTTTAAAAAAAGTGATTAAAAGCCTCAGTTCATTAATGCTCTATTAGTTGTCTAAAGAATGTACCCTTAGTCAAAACAAAATATCGTGAGGGCCCCCAATGTTCACTGATATATAAAACATATCTACCTATTCTATATATCCATTTTTATTTTTTAATAATAATTATTATTAAATTTTTATCCTCTCTTTATTACTTTATAAGTAACTCAAGGTGGTGAACATGCATATTAATACTGCTTTCTCCTATTTTCCTCACAACAAACCTGTGAGGTGGGTTGAGCTAAGAGAGAGGGACTGGATCCATATCACCAAGCTGGCTTTTAGGCCTAAGATGGAACTAGAACTCACAGTCTCCTGGTGAATGACCCAAAGTTACCCAGCTCGGTTTCATGCCTAAACCAGAACTCTCCTAGTTTCTAGCCCAGCACCTTATTGAGGACATGGAAGTCTATTTTCTTTTTCTCAACTATCGTAAACTTTGGGAGATTTGGGGCCTGTAGCTCACTTATTTCAGAACCCAGGCCTAAGAGCAAATACAAACCTTAGGCTCTAATTAAACCTTACTTATCTACCAACTTGAGGGGGTGGATTCCAGTCCACTCTGCCAGGCCCAAGGCAGGTTTATATGTTTGACTAACACTTGAAATGTCATTCAACAGCATATGCAGCATCACAAACATTTCCTGGTTTGGAGTAGGTCCAGGACAGTGTTGCCATAGTAACCGGAGGGGGGGGTAGAGCAGAAAAACTTCAATGCCCCACACTCAAGGGAAGTGATGCTACTGTGCAGCTTTAAATGTTTTTGTTTTGATTCTGGAAATGCTCCTTCATAGCGAATGGAAGAAATGATGGCCATCAGGGAGCAATTACGACCCTTTATGACTGGGGAACTCTAGTTGGAGCCTTCAGGAAAGGTTTCAGGGTGAGTTGTCGGCCCTAATCTATCATCCTGCCAAATGCATGGAGTGTATGCTAACTCCTGGAAAGCCACTTATTGGAATCTCTTCTGGCCATCTTCAAACCTGGCATCTGTTTTAAAAATCCAGATTAACTACAGACTGCAAAACACATTAGAAACAGGAAGAATGTGTACCCACAAAGTAGCATTTTTAGATAAACCTGAGTTCCAGCAGAAGTAAAAATAACAATTTCCTTTTGAAAGAAACCAGGTGATTTACTTTTGATCAATTTCTGCCCAAGTCCTTCTCCTCACTTAAAACTTCTCTCCCTCTCTCTCTCTCTCTCTCTCTCTCTCTCTCTCTCTCTCTCTCTCTCTCTCCCCTCCCCCATACACACACACCCTCACACTCTAGCATCTGCACATTTACACACACACTTATTTTCCCCTACAGACCTCTTTGGGAATACTCACTCCCCCCCTTCACCCCACCTCACCTATAGTGTGTACCAGTCTCTTTTTCCTCCTTTTTTTCAAAACCTCCTTATTAACAATCACATTATATAATCTGTGTAATACAATTGTTATATTATGTAACTTCATAATCATAGAAATGCATTCTATTCTATTCTATTCTATTCTATTTCTATTCTATTCTATTCTATTTATTCTATTCTATTCTATTCCCTTATTCTGCCCTATATTATCTCTTGCATTTATGGATATGTCTTCAACCATATTTTGAGTGCAGCTTCTTATTTATTTATCTATTTATTTATTTATTTCATTAAGGAAATGCACCCACCTTAAGACCATGGGATGTGGCAGAAGTATTTAATAATTCATCGTTCTTTATACTCTCATCTTTCTCCTGCTCTCTTTAGGAGAAAGAATGAGCAAAGCTTAAAATACATACCTCTCTCTGTCCAATTAAAACTGTAGAGGAGATTTTTTAAAAAATCATTATTCCCCCAAGGCACACACGCACACACCTAGTTTATCTCGCCTCAATCTTGGTAGTTGATTTACCCATGCTAGCCTCTGATTACTTCTGTCTCTCTCTCTTTTTCTTTTCTTTTTCTTTTTTTGCTATGGCTGAGTAAACACACAAAGTCTAATAGTTCCGCCTATTATTCTCTAATCTAATCTATGTATTCCATATCAGATCTCTGCACCGGCCCCCTCCCATTCTCAATAGAAACAATAGTCTCCACCTCTCGACTGCAACCCCCCCTTCCCTTGTGCGCTCTCTCTTTCTCTCGCTCTCTCTCTCTCGCTCGCTCGCTCGCTCTCTCTCTCGAAGTCCGTGGGATCCCCAATCGATCCCCTCCGCTCATTCCTTGCATCACCTTCTCCTCACTGAAACCTGTTGACGGGATCTGCACCCAGGTAAGAGGGAGCGGGGGGAGGGGGGAGGGGGGAGTCCCGTGGGACCGAGTAGGAGAAGGGGTTGAGTGTGCAGCCTTTGGAAGAAAGGGGGGTGCGTGAAGATAGTTGCGAGGTGCAACTTGGGGAGAGACAAAAATGTGGGGTCACAATCTGGCAGAGTTTCCAAGAAGGCAGAGACTTGGCAGAGTTGTTCGGCAGGTGATATTCGGGAAATGGGGAAAAGGCTGAGACAAGTTGGGAGGAGACTGCTATGGGGCCAAAAAGGGAATTTGGGGGGCAGTGGCTGGAATGTAGGGGTGAGGAGAGTGAAGATTGGAGGATATCAGGGTAGAAAGCAATTCAAACGTGCTTCTTCAAAGAATAAGAGGCATCCATAGTGTAATCTGGAAAACATAGGGACATCAGTTGCACAGAGGTAGGATATTCAGGGGAAAAGTTGGGGTGAAATCAAAGGTGTCAAGAATCAGAGATGGCTAAATTGATTCCTGCGATGGGAATTGATGCAGAGAGCAATTCTGGGAAGCTATGAAACTGATTGAGAACTGGTGGACTGAGGCAAGGTTGGTTCAAGAAAATACCTTTATGCAGACTTCTCCCTCTCCCCTCTCTCTTTAAAAAGAAAAAAAAACTACCACAAGTCAATTCAGCAAATTCATCCTGTGACTATTGTTTAAGAAAACAAATTCATGTAATTCATGTAAAATAAGCCTCGGACCAATACTAATTTCAAAATATACTGCTCTATTAAAATGTCATTAAGTGTCCAACAGAGAGAAATTCCTAATTCACTTATAATCATCTCACCATCCCTAAAAATTGGGGGGGGGGATAGAGAGAGGCTAGTGCTGCAAAACATGCTCTAATTGGAGTTTGAAATTTTGTTGACTGACATTCCATTTCTCATGTTGCATTGATCTACTAACCTTTGATTTCATGCCTGTTTTACCCTTTTTCTTCTTGTTTTTATTTAAATGCAGTTCTGTCTACTCAGAAATAAACCTCAGCTCAGTGAATTCAGTGGAAATTGATTCCTATAAAGTGGCTAGACCACTGCAGTCTTGTAGCGCATCAGGCTATTTCAAACAGTACAGTTCGGATGTTTAGAATTTTTTTTAAAAAAAATCTGTTGTCAGTTTGTTCACTGCACCAACATCCTAACTTTTAACCTGCTTGCCACAAAGGAAACGGGAACCATGATTTTGAAAAGATGGGTTTAACAGTATTAATGGTATTTCAGCAACAATATCTGTTGAAATGTTTTCTGTTAGGAGAAAGAAATCAAAAGGAAATCTCTTTATAAAATAATCATTCACTTTATTCACCCAAACAGGGAAAGTTTGGGCAAATTAGGGAACAGCCAGAAAAGGGTTCCCAGCCCAAATTTTGGGAAGTGAAGAAGTGACTCACAGAGTGGATCATGGGATTGGGAGAAATAAATCTGTGAAAAACTCTGGAGTTTGGTTCAGAAAAATATAACTAAAAAAAGAAAAGGGTTTGGGTCCATTTCCTACAAGAATCAGCAAATGGGTGTAGTAAGGTTATGTAAAACATAAAAAAATAAGTGGAGATAGAATCACCAGCTTAGTCTCCTCATTTATTCAATTTTTTATGTAACATTTCCTACATGCATTGATGTATTAGCTTTTTCTGATACATAAAGGTCTGTAGATTTTAGATTTACATTTGCAATAGAAAAAATGAAAACATCTTCTTTTCCTGAAGTCATCATTCAGAATAGAAAAATAAAGGTGACTTTTTTAATGTGACTTGTGACATCTATTTAACTAATAGAATTGATGATATGGAATGTAGTGGTGATTTGGGGTATATATAGGAATACAGGAATGTTGTGGAGATAACACACTTTTGGGAGGAACCATAGACCACTTCTTTAGTAGTAAATTAAAGTGAGGGGTTACTAAGAGGATTCCAGTGAAAGTAAGTTACTAAGGACTAAATGCAATCTGTTAGTAGGCTGGGAAGAATCCTAAAATGTCAAAACATAAAAAAAGCAAATCAACAAGCACAAGCATGCTTAAAAACATTGCAATAAGGCTGGACAGGTCTTTAAGGAAGCTCACAGTTCTACTAAATGAATTCTCAGTCATCATTCAAACTCTATATACTGTACCATGCCTTACCAACCATTTTCTGCACATCTGTTTCTGAATACAAGGGGTTATCATCAAACATAGTCAACATAGAGTAAGTAGCCTTAGGCTGTTAGGCTGTTTGACATAGCCAATTTCCTATGGTTTAGTCCATGTTTCTCAACCCTGGCCGCTTTCAGATGTGTAGAGTTCAACTCCCAGAATTCCCCAGCCAGTTTAAGTGCAAACATCTGAAAGCAGCTAAGGTTGAGAAACCCAGTTTAACATCAAGGTTACCGTGATTAGGAGACGTGCATTTCTTGCCTAGAAAATATCAATTTTTTCTGCCAGAGTTTTTTTTCCCTGAAACCTACCTGAGATACCCTATAAAGAAAATAATGAAATGTTCAGCTCAAAACTTAAATATTGGTTATTCCTCCTGTGACACAAACAGTAATAGATATTTCTTACCTAATACAAATTGTAGTTCACCATCACAAACAGAAATACTTGCTCAAAGAAAGAAATTATTTTGGTTTCCTTTAAAGATAATGCCTGGTTGAATTTCTCAATTCTTCCGACAACAAAAAAATCTTTGCCTTGCCTTTTGCCTCTCTGCAAAGTAGCAAATTTGACCTGCCAATCATTCTAGTTTAGAGGGAGAATGAATCAATAATATTTATTTGGTCAATGACAAGCAAAATTTAAAAGTACAAAAACAGTGTGAAGCAAATGAATACAATAATATACTAACAAGTAGCAAAATAAATCATGTAGTATAACATTCACTCCTCTATTACTATGTTAATTCAGTTGTTACCCAGATGATATATCTAAAACATATATATATATCTCCCCCCTAACAATTCATCAAACAAACAGCCAGTTTGGTTTAGTGGTTAAGGTTCTAGCTAGAAAGGGGGAGACCATGAGTTCAATTTCTGCCTCAGCCATGAAAGCTAGCTGTGCAATTTTGGGTCGGTCCCTCTCAGTCCAATCCACATTATAGGTTATTGTTGTGGGGAAAATAAGAGGAAGAAGGTGTGTTGAACATGTTTGCCACCTTGAATTAGGAGTGCCAGTTGGTCTAGTTGGTCTAGTGGTTAAGGCACCAAGCTAGAAACTAGAAATCCCTGAGTTCAAGTCTTACCTTAGCCCTGAAAGCCAGCTGGGTGACTTTGGACCAATCACTAGGAGACAGGGAATTCTAGTCCTGCCTTAGCCATGAAAGGCAGCTGGATAACTCTGGGCCAGTCACTCTCTCTCAGCCCAATCCACTTCACAGGGTTGTTGTTATTGTGGGGAAAATAGTAGGAGAAAGGTGTGTTGGATATGTTTACCACATTGAATTATTTGTAAAAATAATAAAGGCAGGATGTAAATAAACAAATATTAGTTAAGATGTTTCAAACCCGAAGTATTACTTAAAACAAAGGTAATTATGTCTTTACTAATTATATCTTGCTATGCTTTCATTGCAGTAACATAAAATTTAGCTACTGCCCATGTAATGAATGGTTTTAAATCTTGAAGGTGAAGGTTCATGTAAAATTTATCTGGCCTTAGAGGGAATTTATGAATTAGGAGTACAGGGTAGATTGACCTGATGTCTCTATAAAATTTATAATATAATAAGGGCTCTGTAAGGGAGATATGCAGCTTAACAATGTGATAGATGAGAGAGAGAGGAAGAGAGGCAGGGAGGCAGGGAAGAAGAGAGAGAGAGAGGGAGGGAGAGAATGAGAGAGAATGTGTGAGATGATTTCAACTTCATTGTCACCACATGGGTGAATCTTGAAAGATTTACATACAGTAACCGAAACATTAGGCTGCATTTTAAAGTTTCCCATTTCTGGAGAAACCGAATGCCACTTATTAAGAACATATCCGTATTTCCTTGAGAATCAAGCCCAATTCAAGCAAGTTTGCCTAAACTTAAGGCAGCTTTGCATACCAATGTACAACTGAGGTAGAAATAGAGGATGAAAATTAATGAGTGAATTTTTCTCCCCTTTCAGCATAGCTGATTGTTCCTCCAATGACTGTCCGCCGTGGAGATCGTGCATCAGTTCCTATCCGAGAGCACATGGCCATCGATGTGTCCCCAGGACCAATACGGCCCATTGCCCAAATCTCAGCTTATTTTCCACATCCTGGGCTGGAAGGAGTGCTGACGACACAAGATAGGATGAGGGGTGAAGGAACAACTGTACCCCCAGGAACTGGGGAAGGAGAATCTACTGAAGGATATGATTCAGATGAGAACAGTAAGTATAATTCCCCTGTCTGTAGAGAAGACATGAGCTTTGATCAAACTATCTTTTAATCCAAGAGAAAACAGCTGGCTACATCGCACATTCCATGAAGATTCTCTTTCATTGACTATCACTTCACATTCTATTCCTATGTTTTAAGATAGAGACTACTTCAATGCAAATTCCACATATAGATGCTTGACAGTTGGCAGTTGGATTTGTACAGATCTATGTGCCATACAATACGTTTGTTTGATTTTGACGTAGCAGAATGTGTGAACTAACTCATGAATGGTTTGTTCAATCAATGTGAACACAACCATTGTGGTTTGTCAGCCATGGTTTATAATTTAGCAAGATGTATGATCTAAGTCACTATAGTTTGTTCAATAATTCAAACAAGGCTAAGAATAATGTGCGAATAGAACCAGCAGGACTGCCTCATATTGCGCCCATCTACTCACTCATATTTAGATTTTTTCCCCACACACCTACAAAGGCATATTAAACTTTTGTGAATGGCCATCCAGAGGCTCATCCTTCACTTTAATGTCAACTTATAACCACATTGACATCCATATTTTCTCAAATGCTCTCTTATCCAAACAATATGTTTGTTGTAAACAAGTCTGTCTTACGAAACAGTTCTCAAAAATATGGACAATTGAATCTTCACTGATTGATTAGGTGCCACTGATTCAACAGTAATTCCTGTCACAGGAAAAAAAATGTTCATCTTCTCAACTTGTCTCTAACAGAAGCTCATAATTCCTCAAGGAATGTTCACTGGAGGTTTTTAAGAGGAAATTGGACAGCCATTTGTCTGGAATGGTATAGGGCGGGGTCTCCAAACTTGGCAACTTTAAGACTTTTGGACTTCAACTCCCAGAATTCCCCAGCCAGCCATACTTGGAGACCCCTGGTATAGGATCCACCAGGGGGTTGGACTAGAAGACCTCCAAGGTAACTTCCAACTCTGTTATTCTGTATGTCCTTGCTCCCCCTCCAACCATCATTTCTATTGCTTTCCCTTTCTTCTTTGTTTCTCAATCTTACCTGGAATACTTTATCTAAATCCACCCTCGCTTACATCACCTGCCCAAAGTGAGATACCTCTCTTCTAGAGAGGCATATTCCTCAGTTCCACTTCCTTCAAAACATTCATCCACTGCACTGTTCACTTAAAAGTGGTGTTTGTATGAACTCTTGTCACATTTATGGCCAATGTTCTGAGGAGATTTTTGTGAACAGGTCTGCCATTATGATATTTAAGTGTAACCATCATGTTGTTCTGAATCTTGCTTATTCTTTGTCATATATGCTATAAAATGTCCTTCACGACATCTCCTCTCCCCTATCATTTGCACACTGATCTGGAAATAAAGTCTAGTGAATCTCCTGAGGTTTTAGGCTGAGTGAATGCAGGCAAGAACTAGAAAACAGAATCCTATCTTTGCCCTGAGGCAGTCGTACTTAATTGTAAATAGCCACACTCAGTGCACAATAAAATAATACATGCACACTGGCCCATAGTAAAAGATAAACTTAAAAGGTCTGCAGAACATGATTTGGTAATTTCTCTTCTCTAAAGCACAACCGGAATGGGAAAAGTTGTACTTTTGAGCAAACTTACTTAGAAGATCTTATAAAAATATTATATATTTTTTATAATATGAATAATATATATGATTCTCCCCCCACCCTTTGCAAATCAATCTATTTAGTATGAGGCAAGATTAAGAGACTCAAGTAACAGGGTTCACATCTGGAGGGACACATGAAAGCAACTTGTCTCAACCATCCTGGGCTCTTTTTGGACTCAGAATTTGAAACAGGCACATGCACAAATTCATGTTTATCTTTCTCATAAGCAATTCTTGTATGGCCAAGTTCTCCAATATTTGTTTCGTTACTTATAATCTACTGTGATTAAAGAGTCTCTAGATTGTCGGACCCAAAATCAAGAATGATACAAGGCAATCATTTCAAGCTGAATCCTTTATTGTTTCACCTCTATAGACAAAATCTTATCTGACTGAGGACTCTACATCTCTGTGAGGTATTAGGGTGGGTCTGTCTTCACCCTCTTTCTCTCACACTCGGCATCTGGGCTGAGTTGCCTCTTACTCCTCTGGCATGCACCCCCTCCCTCCTGGGGACCCACCTCCTCACTACATTAGATCACAAGGTACGGTGAGCTTATTCTCCGACTCTGCTACCCGTCAGAGCAGAGCTAACTTTAGGCTAAAATTGAGTAGGCACTGGTTTAGAGTGCCAAACCTTAGGGAGCACCAATGCCTCCCCGTCTCCTTCCAAAGGAAATGCTAATCTTGCATCAATAGGCCCTGCATCACAGCTTTCTCAATACAGGGACTAGACAGTGATACACAAGCACAGAGCAGTATAGTTGGGACTTTGAAAGGTGTTCCTTGTGGATTTTGGGGTTGGCTTGAGTAGTCAAAATGGCTGAGGGGAACCTCCAAGGCTTCATGGGATTATCATTTGCTGCTTGGGGGGCAAATCAGTGGTGGGTTTCTACCAGTAGTGGCAGCAGTGGGAGGCTCCGCCCACCCATCCGGACGTCATCATGGACGCTCTGCGCATGCACAGAAGCGCCATGAGCGCTCTCCCAGTTCCGAACGGGTAGCGAAGGTAAGTGGAAATCTCTACTGGGGCAAACGTGGGGAAAGGCTACTTGGGCTGCCTGTGAATTTTCCGGAGACCTGTGGTTGGCAAATGGATTCTGAACAAGAATGCAATTAGCAAATCTGGGTTGCAAAAATATGCCTAACCATTAGGTGGCAGTAAAAAGATACAGAAAACTCTGTGCTGACCTCTAAGTGTTCCTCTGAATCCCTGAAACCTGGATCTGGTAAACTGTAGCTTTCATGCTGATACTGTTCTTCTCACAGGACTCACAATGCAACTGGTATTGTAGTGGGAGAGGCATAGATGAAGGAAAGAATTGGTTCCTGTGCACATTTATTTTTAGGACTAGGAGAAACACTAGATAGCCATTGGATAACCAAATCTTTTGGAAACATGCCCTGTTCTCACCTTCTTGTGCTTGTGCTTGTGCTGAGACAAATAAATATGCGCATGCTTTACCAAATTCAAAGCCTGAAAAGATTTGGTAAAGACTGTGCACATTTATTTGTCTCGGCGCAAGCACATACCTACTATTCCTGTGCAGAGAGTTACGTGAACTACGGGTATCAACAGTCCTCAAAAATGTAATGGCACTAAAAACTCAAGATGTCGGTTTTTCCCCTTTTTCCATCAGAAGAGTTATTGAAGTCCCACAACCCATGTTTCTGGGACAACCTATGCATGCAAATGTTCACCCAAGCATCTTCTCTAACAAAAACAACCTCACAATCTCACACCTCTACTGTTAACATAGCCCAGCATAAAAGAGACATTACATTTATATGCTCTCCCACAGGTGCATGTACGCACACACACATACAGACACCGACTCCCATAAGATGGGAGGGAGGAAGGGAAGGAAGGAAGGAAGGAAGGAAGGAAGGGGAAGGGAAGGGAAGCAGGAAGCAGGAAGGAAGGAAGCTTAAATGAATAGTAGGTACAGAGCAAGGGAAGGGGGAAAAAGGAAGCCAACATAGCGTTGTGCCGAATTTGAGGTGCGGCTTGGTAAAATAGAGACAAATATCAGGTATTCAGCTGAACAAAAACGGGCCCCTCTAACAGAGAGGAAGCCCCGAATACACAAAGATTCTTGTATTTATACCTTTTTTCTTACACTGCACCCAGCAAGGCTGGCACATAAGAGATACAGGAATCACCCAGAAAGTCTGGCACACAGTAGATAAGATATCAAGATGTTCTTAGTATATAGGGAGGTTCTTTAGGGACACTGGGTGGTCCCTGGCATCTCAGGACATTGGGTGTTTCCCTGGGGACTTTCCACAGACCTGCAGGTATCTAGAGATAACGGTGCCATCTGTACATACACACCTTCTAGGCTCTCCCCAGATTCCAGGTCAACAATAGGAGTGAATACTGTAGATGAATGGATCACAAGAGAATGAGAGAGAGAGAGAGAGAGAGAGAGAGAGAGAGATCGAGAGAGAGATCTATGCTACCAGACAAAGGCATGCACCAAAACAGATAGCCATCCAGAAACCCTTACAAATAAATGTATCCCAATACAAAGAGGAGAGGTACAGTCTGATAACACATGTGTAGGAACATGTAAGTCCGTTTCATGTGGGCTTTAAAATTATGCAGCCTGGCTGAAGGCCAGGGGATGAGTGTGAGAAGAAAGGAAGAATGCATTACGGGTTTTTGCTCCTGATCTCCATGCATCATTCATCAGCAGTTTGTGCATGCTCGCCATGCGCTCTGGGATCTGGCTTTTCTCAGGCAGAGAAAGGGAGCCTAACCACTGACCACTAGCTCCCGACTAGCAAGTAATGCCTGGAATTGATGAGTGAGGAGAGGAAGCCCATCCTCTTTCTTCTCTTCCGGTTGAGTTTTATGGACTCAGGACTAATTAACTCCTTCCTATCAATAACTAAACCATGGTTTAGTGAAGAATTGGTAGGGTGCATACTACCTGCTGAGCCGTTAAGTGCCATAAACAAGACACAGTGGCTGTGCTTATATAACACAGCCAAGCTGGAAAAAATTATGACTTAGCGCATTTGGTGAACAAGCCCTATTTGTGAAATGGGGCAATAACGATAGGCCAAAGGCTAAGCAAATGGAAGTGAATTTCCTGCCAAAATTGACAAAACGCAATCCATGACCCAGGCCAAGAAACCTTTTTACTGTGGCAGACTATTGATCCATACAATTTATAGATCAATCACAACGTCTTGGAACACATAAAAGAGAGAATGCTTTGTTCTTGCCACTGAGGTACTACAAATAGATCCTACATGGCTCAGATTAAGTCTTCTAGATGGGACTTCTAGAGATGGCTGGGTGGGTTGGATGGATTTATTTGCTCATAAATGTCATCCAAATGTGTAAATACTTTTATGAAGATAGGAGCAAGGGAAAGGCTCTAATTCACGAAGGCCAACGAGTTCTCCAGACCTAGAGAAAAACAGGAGCAGAAGTAAATAGTGAGTCCCCAAGATATGATCAAAAAGTCAAGGTGGCAGAAACAATGATGTGATCATTGCTGTGCCTGGTTTTTAGGTGTGTCACATATGCAACGCACTTAAAAAACAAACAGATCTTGAATTGCACTGTCGCAGCTGCACTCTTGATTGCTTTTTTAACAATCCTTGCAGACACCCCTGTGACTCCTGAATAATTCACAACTGGGCAACTGTCCCAGAGAGAAGACATAGTATTCTAGGAAGTTTAATTTGCAGGGAAAAAGAGGCAGTGATAAAGAAAATAGAATATTTCTTACACTTACCTTTGTGGAGTCCTTGGTGGTCTCTGAGCTTGATTGTTTGTTTTCAGACGTTTCATTACCCAACTAGGTAACATCATCAGTGTATGGGGATGTAAGGGGATCCCCTGGTTTTCTTCTTAGTAGTTCCTTAATTAGGATTTTGTTTTCTGCTTGATGGTTTGTCTTGTCTTGCTTATCTGGGTGTTGACTGCTGGAGAAAGTGTATTCTGGTTTTTTTGTTTCCTTCCTCTCTTTTGAATGGTGTGTTAATGTGTTTTATTTCTATGTGTTTAGTGATGGCTGATTCAGAAACGTGTCATGTTTCTTGCTTTGTCCCAAGCTCAATTATTATGCATCTTCAAACACATCTACTTTATTTGTGCAGTTAATTCAGGACATCACATTCAGTTTTTCTGGTGTCTAAATTAGATTATCAGAGGGAAAGGGAAGTGGGGCGCTTGAGATATTCAAGATGAAAGTGTGCACTTCTATGCATAGCTCACAGACAGAGAACATTTACATAGAGATGTACAGAATTTGGAGTAGAGGATCATTTTGACAGGCAGTATTGGCCAGCCAACAACATAAGAGCACCGTCTGATATTATTTGAACTCACAGCCAATCTTTGTGCAATTGTATACAAATGGGCAAATGCAGAGATATAAACCAGTTCAGATATGGCTATGCTAGCCAAGCCTGATGGGACTTTTAGTCAGTTCTTCTGAAGCAAGGTTGGGTGGGGAAAATTTGTCTGGATCATGACTGGCTGGGGAATTCTGGGAGTTGAGATCCGCATGTCTTAAAGTTGCCAAGGTTGAGAAACATTGGTCTGGACAGATGGATGGAGCTGAATTTGCAGATTGTGAGTGGGATTGGAAAGAAAGCTTGAAGGAAAACACTGATAAAATGGATCTCTTTTAAACATTTGTTTTCCTTACTGCTTGGCCTTTTTCTAGCAACACTTGGGACTCTTGAATTTGATATTCTCTATGATCCAGAAAGCTGCACCCTTGACTGCACCATCCTACGAGCCAAGGTAATCATTCTGACATTTGTTCCTTTACTGGTCCTCAAAAATCTCTTCTAAAGCAGCTTCTGCAAATTGGTGGGGTTCGGACATCTCCTGTAATTTTTTGTTAATGGAGACACAGCCCGTGCTGGCAATGGGGGATAATAAAGGCTGCTACTCAACTTACTTGGAGAACAGAAGGCTGTGGAAGGTTTGTTGAAAAGACACTGTTTGCTTTTCTAGCACCCTCCATTCCTTTGTATTCAGCCTTTCTGCATCACATGTTGCGTTTTCATAATAAACGGCCTTGATTTAATAAAAGAGGCCACACCGGGGTGGGAAATCTCATTATGGAACCAGCAATGCTCATTTTAGCTTCTCTTTTCTCCTCCAAACTCAGCCCCTTCTCTCTACCCCATCTACAAAGCCTTTAGAAGTAAGGCAAGTACCCTTCAAGTGTCAAACCAAACCTCCAGGGTCTTCACCCAGCCGCTTTACTGCAACCCTGACCCTCAACTCACACACCAGCAATACATAACACCCCCTCCTCCCTTTCTTCCTTCCCAGCTGGTGGGCTTGCAGCATCTTCAAGCATCTCAGCGGCGACGCGCCAGGCAACCGGGTATCCGCAGGCATCTGGCGTTGCTGTGGCAACAGAAGAGGGCAAGGGGGGGGAAGCATGGGAAATACTGCGGCAGTTCAGAACCACAGCAAAACTAACCCAGAGCCTGCCACTTCGAAAAGAGTAGATGACCCTTATTCCCAACTGGCAGGTTTCTGTTTCCTTGGCGTCACCCTCTGCATCTCTAGAGATTGTGTGCAAACTATTTAGAGGGTATGTTTACATGAGTGAAGCTTTAAAAATATTTTTCTGACTGGTCTATCGTTTTCCCTGTGGCAATTCCCCAACGAGGATAATTTAGCTGGAATTTCTGCAATGGCTCTGAACAGGTTTAAAATGCACAGCACCAATAGTTCTGGGATTTGAAGTGACATCTTTAGGCCACCGATGGCATAAAGGTCGCCTTCTTAGCCAGGAAGGTAAATTAAGGCTTCCGTAATGGAGTTTCAAAAAGTCCAACCGCAGTTTAGATATGAATTCCCTACAAACTATGCTGCTTGGTGCTCTGTTCCTTACGGCAGAGAGCTCGCCATTTGTAATTCTGGAATAATCTAACAAATTCATTACTGGATGGAGAATTGATTGCAATCGGGAAACACCTAGAAAGTCCCACTGGTCAGTATGTAGAGTGAAGATACACTATGGATGTTGAGGAGTGGATTTATACCACGGTGGTGAGGCCACACTTAGAATCATTGGCATCCTTCAGTCTCAAGAGACTATGGTATCGTACTCTGGAAGGAGGTCCTAAAACAGCATCTAGTGTGACTAAAAAGGCCAATTCGAGAGTGGCAATCCCTTCCACACTGATGGCAGATACTTTCTGTCCCCTGCCCAGCTCCCAGATTTTGCTGGTTCCAGGACTGCCTCTTTACCTTAGCCTGCCGAACAAGTGTCTCTTCAACTAAGAACACTTAGAATAGTATGTACAGTTTTGGTCACCATGATACCAAAAAATGCTGGTACCCTAGAAAGAGTGCCAAGAAGAGCAACAAAGATGATAAAGAATCTGGAGGATAAAATATATGAAGAATGGTTGCAGGAACTGGATATGACTAGTTTAATAAAAAGAAGGACTAGGGGGTGACAGGATAGGAGAGTTCCAATATCTTAGGGATTGCCACAAAGAAGAGGGAGTCAACCAATTCTCTAAAGCACCTAAAGCACCACCAAAGGGTAGGACAAGAAGCAATGCGTGGAAACTAATCAAGGAGAGAAACAATATGGAACTAAGGAAGGACTTCCTGACAGAACAATTAATCAGTGGAACAACTTGCCTCCAGAAGTTGTGAATGCTTCAACACTGCAAGTTTTTAAGAAGAGGTTGGATAATGGTTCAGACCATTTGTCTGAAATGGTATAGGGTTTCCTGCCTAAGCAGGGGACTAGAAAACTTCCAAGGTCCCTTCCAACTCTGTTATTCTGTTCTGTTCTGTTCTGTTCTGTTCTGTTCTATTCTATTCTATTCTATTCTATTCTATTCTATTCTATTCTATTCTATTCTATTCTATTCTATTCTATTCTAATTGTACAAGGAACAGTTAAGGGAACTAGGTATGTCTAGTCTAATGAAGAGAAGGATTAGCATGGCTATGATAGTTGTCTTCCGGTACTCGAGGGGCTGTCACAGAGAAGAGGGGATCGACTTATTCTCCAAAGCTCCAGAAGGCAAAACAAGAAGCAATGTTTGGAAACTTATTAAAGAGAGATCCAACATAGAACTAAGGAGAAATTTCCTCACAATGAGAATGATAACTCAACAGAACGTCTTACTTCCGGAAATTGTCGAAGATCCATTACTGGAGGTTTTCAAGACAACCCTTTGACCTGGATGGTGTAAGGTCTCCTGCCTAGAGCAGGGGGTTATATTAGAAGACCTTTGGATCCCTTTCAGCCCTATGATTCTATGCACTAAACCCCCCAGACCTATTCCATGGTGGGAGTCTTAATCATTCAGACACTTAACAGACTATGCAATTCTTGCTTTTGCCTACGTAGAGCCGTCCTCCTCCAAGGCAGAGCTGAAGAAAGTACAGGTAGTCCTCAACGTACAACGACAATTGAGATCAAAATTTCTATTCCTAAGCAAGGCAATTGTGAAATGATTTGCACCTCATTTTACAACCTTTTTTGCCACACGTTAAGTGAATCCAGCTTCCCTCCCACCCCTCCCATTGGCTTTGCTTTTTGAAAGCTCACAAATGGTGATCTTATGATCCCTCGTGCAGCAATTGTCGTAAATACATGCCGGTTGCCAACATCTGAATTTTGATCACATGATTGTGGAGATGCTGCTGTAGTCATAAGTGTGAGGAATGATTTTCATTTTTTCCAGTCCCGTAACTTTGAACAGTTGCTAAATGAATGGTTGCAAGTTGAGGACTACCTGTACTAGGTCAACTATCAGGACCCACTACATGCAGACATCAACTTCTCTCTCTCTCACACACACACGCACACGCACACACACACACACTCCCTCTGTTCCTTTTTTCTTTCTCAATCTTTTTTTCCCTGTTATTCTTTTCTTCTCCCTCATAAATTGCAGATTGTCAGTGAAAAAGCGAATAGCAACGAACTCCTTTCTCCAAAAAAAGGCTGCCTGTGGAGAAAAGACAAAGATACTCTTCCCCAGAAACCTTAGCCAATCCCTTGCAGAAGGATTTTAATAAATAAATCCTGCCACCCTCCCCTTTAATCAGCAAGTAGTTTCGAGGAAAGGATCAAGCTGGCTTTACTGCTTACAACACTTACAGCTGAAATGAAATTAGCCCAGAGTATCACATCCATAAAGTGGAGTGGGAACACAAATATCTATTTTTGAGCTGGAATTTTAAAATTTTGAGAAGGGTGGAGAACTTTCTACAGGCCTCCGAATATGTGGATGTGCCGAAAGAACAACGAAGGATAACCCAAAGGTGCTTTTTCTGGAGGCAACTGAACTTTCTTGTTTTTTCTTTGAAGATGTTTCACTTCTCATCCAAGAAGCTTCTTCAGCTCTGATAGGATAGTGGGGAATGGATTTATATTCCTTCATTCCTTTTGCTTCAACGACCCTCTAAAAGGATGCAAATGACCAGCTGTCGGCAAGAAATATAAATCCTTCCATTCCTCACCATCCAGTCAGAGCTAAAGAAGCTTCTTGGATGAGAAGCAAAACATCTTCAAAGAAAAAACAAAGTCCAATTGTCTCCAGAAAAAGCACCTTTGGGACAACTATAACCTGGATGACTGAGAATTTCTACAAACTTTTACGAAGGATAAATAGAGTGGAATTAATGCCCATGTTTTTTTTTTCCCCAGGGACTGAAGCCAATGGATTTTAATGGCTTGGCTGACCCTTATGTCAAACTACACCTCCTTCCAGGCGCTTGTAAGGTAAGCCCTGGGGGTGGTCTGCCAGAAGGGGGTCATAACAGGTCAAGTGGCTACAAGCATGTGATTGAAGCCCTGACCCTCATTCGTATCCAGCATGATGTAAAAGGGTCACCAATTTGATTTTTTATTTTTACTCTTGGTAAGCACAGTCTGAAATTTATTGTGTCTCAATTTTGGTCCCACATAGCCACAAAACTTTATGTGAATATATAATATCAAGGCTCCTTCAATACGAGCTTGACTCCTTATATGTGCATTACATGTTGGTTTTGGGGGGAACAATATGGAAGTGGCCTTGTCTTTCTCTTGGGATGCTTGTCCAACTTCCCAGATGCTGCAGGCTTCTTGGAGACTGAAAGTGGGGACAATGGTTTGGTCTAGTGGGGAAGGCACCAGGCTAGAAACCAAGGGACAGGGAATTCTAGTTCCACCTTAGACATGAAAGCTAGCTGGGTGACTTTGGGCCAATCACGAGGATTCTCTGAATTCTAGTCCCATCTTAGGCACGAAAGTGGTCTGGTTGACTTTGGGCCAATTACCAGTAGACTGTGAGTTCTAGTCCTGCCTTAGACATATAAGCTGCCTGGCCAATCACCAGGTTTAGTTTTTAGTCCTGCCTTAAGGATGGAAAGCCAGCTGGGTGAGTGACTTTCAGCCAATTACTCTGTAGAAGGAGTATTAGCTATGCTCGCCTCCTTGAGTTACTGATAAAAATTAAAAAAGGCAGGATATAAATAAATAAATCTCTCAAAATTACTAATCCAGCACATTTGCCCATTCAATTACTAATCCAGCACATTTGCCCATTGCTGTCAAAAAAGCACTCACCTCCCCTGCCTGTCACTCTGCTCTAGAAAGAAAATTAAGAAGATCTTGATTTAGTGCACTTGATTTGCCTCCAGAAAAAGAAATTAAATGGGAACTGAAGAAAAAGTCTCCAGTGGTCAGGATTTCTGTAATCCAATATTTCTCAATCCTCACAATTTGAAGAGGTATGGATTTCAACTTCCTGAATTCCCCAGCCAGCTTTGCTGACTGGAGAATTCTGGAAGTTGAAATCCATATCTTTTTCAAGTTGTTAAAGCTATGAAACACTGCTGTAATCTAATTCCCTTTTCTTTCAATAAATCCAGTTAAAGAAGATTTCACAAAAGTCTTCTCCGTTGCTAGGATTTTGACTTAAAGAGTTTAGAGCTCAGCTGCAGGACCAGAAAAGCCAAAAAGGCAGTGATAACCATGCAGTTGAAGCCCTATCCCTTCTTTAGATATCTCACAGACATTTTAAAAGAGGCAGAACTTCAGTTGCAAGGCAGTGGCTGCCATCTTGAATTTTTGACTTTCTCCCTGCAGATCCCCCTGAATCTTGGAAATCTTCTCACAATCTCCCATCTGACCCAAACTCATCCTGCTTAAGTTTTCAAAACCAGCTAAAGTGTAATAGGTGCAGCCATCTAGCAGTGTGTGTATCAGGGGTAAAATGTTCCTGGTTCGGACCGGATCGCTAGATCTGGTTGCAATGGCGGTGGGTGGTTTGGAGAACTAGTAGCAAAAATCCCTGTTCCCCCCCACACACCCTTGCCCAGCTGAGCTGCATGATCATCAGAGGCTTTTTTTTTCCTTTTAAAAGCATTTTTTCTACAATCTCTTCGGCCAAAGAGGTTTTAGAAAAAATGCTTTTAAAAGTTTTTTTAAAAAGCCTCTGATGATCATGCAGCTCAGCTGGGATCTTTAGAGCCTTTTAAAAGCATTTTTTCTACAACCTCTGCAGCCGAATAGGTTGTAGAAAAAATGCTTTTAAAGTTAAAAAAAAAAAAAAGTTGGCCACGCCTACCCAGTCACATTATCCCCCCACCAAGCCTGCCCACGGAACCGGTAGTAACAAATTTTACATTTTACCACTGGTGTGTGTGTGTGTGTGTGTGTGTGTGTGTGACATTGGCATAGAAGGTGGTGAGGATAAACTTTATTTCACACATTAAACATTCTGAAGGAGAAATATAATTTGCCATGTATACCTGTTTATAAGCCTATCTGAAGATAAGCCGATCCTTCCATTTTTAACCAAAACACCAGGAAAAATATGCCACCTGTGGATAAATGGATGCTCAAAATGTTTATATGTATTAATTTTCACAATTGGTTTATCCATGGATAATCTACAGATTATCCATTTCTCAGGGTATTCTGATTAAAAATTTTAAGGGTCATCTTATCTGTAGATGGGCTTACCCGTGAGCATATTTATTTATTTATCAAATTTATATAGCTGCCCATCTCACAAAATGTGCCCTGGGCAGTGTACAATTATTAATTTTTTTAAAATGTCAATAAAAACTAGCATTTAAAAATACAAAATATTAAGAAAATTTATTTAGTAATCAAATCTATATAGCTTCCCATCTCAAGAAAAATGCCCCTATATACAGGATATATGCATAGTTTTGTCCTGTACTATATATGGAATGCAGAAGTACACTTTACATACAGGAGATACAGGTACTTTTAAAAAGTATATTTTTAAGTAGACTCACAGATACACTCTATCCAAGGATAAGTCAAATTCAATTTTTGGGGTGCATTTGGCACCTAAAATTCTGAGCTTATTCCTAGTGTACAGGTAGTCCTCGACTTGCAGCCCAAAATTTCTATTGCTAAGTGAGACATTTGTTAAGTGAGTTTTGCCCCAATTTCTTGCCACCGGTGTTAAGTGAATCACTGAAATTGTGAAGTTAGTAGCCGAAATAGGTTGTTGCCTGGAGCCTGAGGGATGGTAACAAGGCCCCGGAGGAAGAAAGCTGCAGGCCATCTCCCTTTAAGCTGGTCAGCTGCTTTCTGAGGCCCAGCTAGTCCTCGACCTATGACCATAACTGAGCCCAAAATTTCCATTGCTAAGCAAGACAGTTGTTAAGTGAGTTTTGCCTATTTTACGACCTTTCTTGCCCCAGTGGTTTAAGTGAATCACTGCAGTTGTCAAGTTAGTAACACGGCTGTTAAGTGAATTTGGCTTCTTCATTTGACTTTCCTTGTCAGAAGAGTGCAAGAGGTAATCACGTGACCATAGTAGAGTAGACTGTAGTGAAAGCTATGGCAAATCTACAGCATTCTAAAAAGCAGAGACATCACCCTGCCAACAAAAGTGCATATAGTCAAAGCTATGGTTTTCTCAGTTGCAGTGTATGGCTGTGAAAGTTGGACTGTAAGGAAGGCTGAGCGCCAAAGAATTGAGGCCTTTGAACTATGGTGCTGGAGTGCAAAGTGATCAAACTGGTCAGTCCTAGAGGAGATCAACCCTGACTGCTCTTTAGAAGGCCAGATCGTGAAGATGAAACTCAAATACTTTGGCCACTTAATGAGAAGGAAGGACACACTGGAGAAGAGCCCAATGTTGGGAAAGATTGAGGCCAAAGGAAGAAGGGGACGATAGAGAATGAGGTGGCTGGATGGAGTCACTGAAGCAGTAGGCGTGAGCTTAAATGGGCTCCAGAGGATGGTAGAGGACAGGAAGGCCTGGAGGAATGTTGTCCATGGGGTCATGATGGGTCGGACACGACTTCGCGACTAACAATAACAATTAATTTAAGAGCCATGGTGGTGCAGTGGTACTGCAGCCTACTTCTGCTGACTGCCAGCTGCCTGCAATTTGGCAATTCAAATCTCAACAGGCTCAAGGTTGACTCAGCCTTCCATCGTTCTGAGGTCAGTAAAATGAGGAGCCAGATTGTTGGGGGCAATACGCTGACTATGTAAACTGCTTAGAGAGGGCTGTAAAGCACTGTAAAACAGTATATAAGTCTAAGAGCTATTGCTATTGCTAATTGCTGCTAAGAATAATAATGACAATTCATAGATTATGAAAAATGTCTTTTCTTCAAACTGTCCTTGGACTGTGAGCTCATCCCCCGCATGTTCTTCACAGCATCCTACCGGGAATTCCCTCTGATGCTGAAGTTTAGCGCACACAAATTTTGCATAACTTATTCGATAATAAGAGGCTTTTAAACCAGCTGTAATTGGAGTTTGGAATAAAAAATCTCTGATTGCCGAAATTACATTATCTCAGGGCCAAAAAAGATGTGACAAGGGAATATGTGACCAGATCTTCCAAATTAATATTTATGATTATTTATGTACGCTCAAAAACTAGCACCGTAAGCCTGATGGTAGGAAGCAGCTGGGAGGAGCAGGTGCTATAAGTTTTTGCCTGTGTTGTTTTCCCAGTCTAAATCCACCCACTTATCTTGAAGCAATTATTAGCCAAGCTGGAGGAAACGGAGAGCTGGTCTAGGTATTTCTGATCTTCTTCCCTCCATGAGGGTAACACCAGCTTTGGGATTAGACATCTTGTGTGTACTTTTCTATCTCTAGTTGGCCAAATGAAATTAACACTTTTCCATAAAATCAAAATCACAGTGCAATCCATATCACAGTCCTGGTCAAAACTAGAGTCTCCTCTCAGGAGTTGCTACACCTGGGTTCAGCTGTTTTACTCATGCCAAGGACAACATGTAATTGATTGGGAGAGGGAAAGAGATTCAGAAGTTATGAATCCCTACTAGCTGTATGAGAACAAGAGGCAAAGCCTGGGGGCTGAGTCAAGAGAGCACTGAGCCCAGAATCTTTATATGTCCACAAAAGCTGCAAGTTTAGTCCCGTTTCTAGCACCAATTTAGTGCTGACCTTTAATTGACTAGATTCTTCTGAATAGACTTGAGCAATAAATCAGTTTAACTAAAACTTAACCTATGCTCCCGATTCTTTGCACCTGACAATATCATGTGCACAGGGGGAGCAAGAAACTAAATAACAAATGCAGCATTTTAGCAACACAGCATAAGTAGCTCTTCTAAACAGGAGTCCTGATGTGGCATGTGTATAAGTGCAGAGTATGCAGTACAACTGTGCAAAGTTATTTTGGTCATTTGGATGAAAACAGCAGATTCTGCAGACACTCTGATTCCCCAGTAAAAGGATTCAAATTGTTTAGAGCAGGGGTGGGGAACGATGGCCCTTTTATGACTTGTGGATTTCAACTCCCAGAATTCCTGGGCCAGCCAATTCTGGGAATTGAAGTGCACAAGTCATAAAGAGGCTATTGTTCCCCACCTTGTACAAGGAATAATAGGCTAGATTTAGCTAACACACTAAGCCAGAAACCTTCTATTTATGTACATGCTACTAAAACTCTGATTTTCGTAACTTTCAACTGGATGAAACGGTGCATTTTATAGAAACAATTGTTGAACCAAGGTATCTCAAATGAGCTAAGTTACAAAATGCATCTCAAAATACAGGACCCATGCCTCCCATGGAATTGAAATTTGGCAAACCTTATAAAACACTCTATGGCATAAAAATGATCATAAAGCATTTTATTACATAATACAAAATGTCATAAAACCTTTCCTGCGCTGATGTTGGACTGTGATATACAGTTCAACACGAGCTTTCTTTTTTTAAAATATATTTTTATTAAAAAATTATCTTAGTATAAAATACAACTGGGGGGACCGTCCATTCCTTACCCAGCTCTTGCTCCCCTAGCACTTTGAAAGCATGCAAATGTGAGTAGATTAATAGGTACAAATTTGGTGAGAGGTTAAACAGCATTCTGTGTGCCTTAGGCGTATAGTCACACTGGCCACATGAACACGGAAATTTTTTTCGGACAACAGTGGCTCCCTCGGCTAAGAACAGAGATGAGAACTGTGCCCATGAGTGGACAGGGAAATATTTACTTTTTAGAATTAAAGACAACAGGGGGAAAGGGAAAGGAAAGGGTTAGAGGAGTTAGAGGAAGGGAAGGGGAAAAGAAATGAAAAAAGGAAACAAAAAGCAGTGACTTATGACCTTTTTTTGGTACAATAAAATGCATTTTATATATGTATGTATGTATGTATGTATGTATGTATGTATGTATGTATACATATTTGTTTTCTGAGGTTTTTGCGGGTGTTTGTATGTAGGTCTTTGGTTATTCGGGTTTTCTCCCACGTAAAATTGGAAGTGTCTTGGCATATACATATACATATATATATGTATATGTATTTCTCTTTAGCTGGGTTTTTCCTACATAAACCAAGATTTTTATGCAGCCCTAGTTCAGTGAAATCCCAATCCATTAGTTTCTAGGCTTTTTTTCCAGCAACCAGCAAGCTCCCTGCTGCCCATTGGGAGACTAAGGAGACTAAGATAGATCTATTTCAGATTTATAAGCCCTCATCAGTTAGCCACACCTTCATCCCATGTATCCTATATATAAAAAAGCAAAATCCACTCACTCATCACGAAATCTCCAGAACGGCAAAGCCTACAAACTTGAAATTTGGCACATACGTTCCTCTTGACTTCTAGATGCTTGCTAAGAAAGGATTTTTAGAAATGACCATCAGATCATTAGTATTTCATATAACAGTATGTTCATAGACAATATATTAATATGCTCTGAGGCTAAGGAGTTAAACATTCTACTCCCCTTCCCCACCTGAAAAGTTCCAACTGCCACTTGCCCCACATTCCGTTCCCTCCGTTCAAACTGGCAGACGTTCCACTCCTTCACTCAGGGGAGCTCTGGGGCTCTTTACAGTACTAAATGTTGCTACCTCACCAAAATGTCTACGCCTTCCACCTATGGAACGGCTTTGGGACTCAAGGCGGCGGGAGAGATATTCCCTTATGTGTTTCAATCACCGACCACCACTGAGCCAACGGACTGTGAACCGAATTTCTCCTGCATAGTGTCCCAGCCCCAACTCACTTCTTACCCTGACCTCCTCAGTTCAGACGAATCTGTTCTTTATACTGTAACACCAGTTAAAGGGAAAAGACTGTCTTTCTGCTGCCCGGAAGTACAACGGATGCTTCAGAATGACGTCTTTTGGAGCCAGAGAGGTGAAGGAGGGAAATTTTATGCCAACATCCAAAGTGCAGAGGCAAGTCTACCACAGGATAGGGAGTATTATGGTGGTGCCTCAGCAGCAGCCTTCGTTTCTCCAGATATACTTTGTTGGTGATGATGACAATGAGAGTCTGTCAAGACTATGGGGATGCTACAATGGTCGTAAGTGTGAAAAATGGTCATAAGTCACTTTTTCCCCGGGTATTCATCCAGTAAGTTATAATTTCAACATTTAACTATATCAAATAGTAACTATTAGCCATTTCTATAGCAATAACCCAGTTGATTGTCAAAACCCCAAAGCCAACATTTTATTTTATTTTCCTCTTTCACACAGAAAGTCCAAAAACGGTTTCCAAGTAACCATAAAACTATTTACATTCTTATCCCTAATTAGCACAGTCAACTTCGCCATCTCCACCTGTTCCATCATCTTTTCAATCCATTCCACTAAAGAGGGAGTTAACACTTCTTTCAATTTCTGGGCATATAAAATTCTTACAGTCATCAATATGTATAGCAACAAAGTTCCATTTCCCCCCGCTCCCCCATTTCTTTATCTAATATAGGTAGTCCTTGACTTACAACAATTCATTTCGTGACTGTTCAAAGTTACAACGGCACTGAAAAATGTGACTTACTGTTTTTCACAGTTACAACCTTTACAGCATCCCCATGATCATGTGATCAAAATTCAATGCTTGGCAACTGATTCATATTTATGACGGTTGCAGTGTCCCAGGGTCATGTGATCACTTTTTGCGATCTTCTGAGAAGCAGTCATTGGGGAAGCCAGATTCACTTAACAACCATGTTACTAATTTATCAACTGCAGTGATTCACTTAACAACTGTGGCAAGGCATGTCGTAATATGGGCCAAAACTCAACTAATTCTCAGTTAACAACATACATTTTGTTTGTGGTTGTGGTTGAGGACTACCTGTAGTCCTAAAAAAAAAGGTTTGCAAAGTAAATCAACTTTTAAAATGTTCTAAATTAAACCTGTACCTAATTATTATTATTTTTATCTTCTCAATGTTTAGCAGAGGTGATAGTACTGTTCTTAACATGAGCTACTTTTAAGGGAGATATATTTCTGAATTTCTCCTTGAATTTTTAATAACTTTTCTAGTACATTGGGAGCTCTGCCAGTCAACAATCTGGTAAGGAATCTGGTAAGGAAATATTTCTGAAAGGATGACATAACATGAGGGAGCTCAGCAACACAACTGCAGTTAACAGCCATTTGCAGCATCATTCAATCATGGGACCACATTTTGTGATGGTTTTGCTGAAAACCAGCACCTTCTATTTTTTAACAAAACTCTGTCCATAGTGAGTCATTGGTTTGTTTACAAGCTGAAGTATAATTACAGCAGCCACTTTATGACTGCCACATTAACTTACTGACTACCGCAAAAAAATTCATGAAATTGTGCCAATCATATTTTTTGGCTGTCACTGACTTACGATTGTGATGGGCCATTACGGTTGTAAGTCGAGAACTACCTGAGCCTTAACGGGTTTAGCAGGATGAAGACGGAAAAGCATTGCAAATCCATTTATATCCTGGTTTCCCAGTACTCAGGACAGGGAACAGATTCAGGCTTTACTGTACAACTAGTCCTCGACTTATCACCATCCATTTAGTGACTGTTCAATGTTACAAGGGCACTGAAAAAAGTTTTTCACACTTACGACTGTTGCAGCATCCCCATGGTCACGTGATTAAAATTCAGATGCTTGGCGACTGGTTCATACGTATGACGGTTGCAGAATCCCAGGGTCACGTGGTCATCATTTGCGATCTTCTGACAAGGAAAGTCAATAGGGAAGCCAGATTCACTTAACAACTGGATTACTAATTTAACAGATGTAGTGATTCACTTAACAACTCTGGCAAGAAAGGCAATAAATGGAGGCAAAATTCACTTAACAACTGTCTTGCTTAATAACAGAAATTTTGGGGTCAGTTATGGTCGTAAGTCGAGGATGACCTGTAGCACTTCTCAACAGTTCTGTTCTTCCCTTTCAATTCCTTTTTCTGTTCAGGCCAACAAACTGAAGACCCGCACTCAACACAACACTCTGAACCCTGTGTGGAACGAGGCTCTCATCTATAATGGGATAACTGCAGAGGACATGGCTCGGAAAACCCTGCGGTGAGATAAAGCCCACCTTTCTTGCTTCCAATCTCATGTCACGGCCCCTTCCTCTCCTGTGCTGTCTTCCCTCAATGTGATTCTCCATTCTTCTTCTCTGCTTCTGCCTCCCAGAATCACTGTCTGTGATGAGGATAAATTGACCCACAATGAGTTCATCGGAGAGACGCGGGTGCCGCTGAGACGCCTGCGCCCTGGCCAAAAGAGACACTTCAACTTGTGCTTAGAACGGCAACAACCGGTGAGAGCTCAGTCAAAGAAGGTTGTATAACCTGCAATGACTCGGTGATTATCTGCATCTGATTCATTAGTAAGGCTTGCAAATTCAGAGACACCTATAGTTACTTTTCTTTGCTGGTCACTTTGGCTGTCTGCTACCCTCCCTCTTAAGATCCTGCTTTTCTCTAGAACTTGTATGAGATTTCCCCCTGCCCACCCACCCCAAACCCAAATCTCCTACTTTTTACCTGCATTTCACAACTATTTCTACCTTTTCACCAATTGGAATGATCAAATATTCCTAGTAGAACAATGCAAAGGCAAGAAGAGACTTACACACAGCATGAGCCAATTTATTTCATAAACAAATAGCTGTGCCTGGTTTAAAGTCAAAAACTGGTGGGTGAGAGAGATGATTAATCAGGGTTTTACTCTTTGGGAGACAAATCTCCTCAACCCCTTGCCAATGGTTAAAGAAAAATAGGCAAGCAACCCAAACCACGTACAGTTCCCTTTCATAGCTGGATGTGTTGTCCTGCAAACCATCATTCCATATCAGAGCAAGGAAATCTGCATTATAGACTCAGTGCCATTCATAGAATTCAGCTTTCTTAGGGGCAAATTAATGTAGGCTAATTTTTCCACCACCATTGAGAGCCACATATACAAAACACACATCGGTTCTATTGGGCCTGTCATTAAATTTCTTCATCAACTTGTCCCATTCTTCCGCACTTCTCCAAGGGGCCTTTACACCCCTTGATTTTTCTGGGGCCCTTGTTTAAAAGTTCGCTAAATTCTCTCCTATCACAACAGCTGGCATCCCCTTCTTCTATGACTGCCGCCCTGCGTGGAATCTCCTGCTATCTGAGAGAGGTGAGAGTTTTTCTCCCATCTTACTCCCGCCCCAAAGACGGCACCTGAAATTCCTCAACAGAAGGATAGGTCGGGGATGGACCACCTACTCCCTGCCAAGGGTTGTTGCCCCATTGGGGGAACCTACCTGCTGAGTAGCAGGGCTGGACCAGACCCCAAACAGAGCCACCCCCTTTGTTCCTTTCCTTTCTCCTTCCCTTGCCAACTGGCAAAGAATACTGCAGCTGGTCTATGGAAGCGATCTGAGCTTGTCACTTGCTCAAGAGTTCCTCCCAGGTCCTCCAATCACCCGAGAACTCGATGTGATGGCCCTCACCGAATTTCCCCTCCCAACCCTCTTCCCTAGCAGGCCTTCCCTCAACATGAAGTTAGGATGAGGGCTGGAGGTGGCTGTCCCTGAGAAGAGCAATAAGATAGCAAGAAGTTAGGAAGAGACTGTAGCAGGAATTGGCAAAAGAAAGCCCACTGTTGAGATGACATCCCAGGTCCATTTTCTGAATCTGATGCCTTCCAGCTGTGGTTCCCAGCTAGGATCACTGTTGACTCTGCTGGCTGGAATATTCCTTAGATGTACCTCCCACCTATTTTCATTCAGGAGTTCAAGGGGTGTATGCAGAATGCCCTTGCCCAGTTCTCCCCTCCAATAAACCTTTGGGATACCTTGGGGTCACCCACTGAGCTTCTATAGCTGAGGTAGAATCTGGGTCTCCCTGCTCTTAGTCCAAGACCATAACCATACCTCACCTGGCATGTAGTTCAGAGCAGCTGGAAGACGCTAAAATGGGGAAGGCTGCCCTGGGCTCAAGGAATTCAAAAGCCCAAGGCTGAATGCAAGGCCTTCTAAACGTTTCACCTGGGTCTCAAATTGTCCAAGGCCTAACTAAGGCCTAGTTCACACAGCCAGCTAAGCCAGGGGTCAGCAAATGTTTCAAGCAGTAGACACCACCAAAATTATCATTCTTAAAATGAAAATAACCATAACAAATTAAATGTAATTATTGATAAGAGTTTATGTTTTACCATTCTGCTCACCTTGGAGATCATGGTGTCTGTGGGACCCCTGCAGTAACCCTGCAGTACAATGCTTTACTTGGTTTGTGAACTCAGTTGTGGTGCTTCACAAACCATGGATTGTGACCTAGCACTTTATGCAAAGCTAGGCCATTGTGGCTTATCCAGCAAGGCATAGTTAAAAAAATAAATAATGATGTGTGAACCCAGTTGCAAAAGTTTGTTTGGGAAGGCCGGAGGGTGGGCATTTGACACAAAAGCATTCAATAGCCTTTCCTTTCCCCCACTGCATAGTTGGAACCCCCAGCTGGCTGGGCCCTGGAAGAAAGGGGTCGCATCCTGCTCGCCCTCACATACATCTCCGAACGTCATGGATTACTGGTGTCTATTCTCCGCTGCGCCCACTTAGCTGCTATGGATGTATGCGGCTACTCGGACCCTTATGTAAAAACGTGAGAAATGCATACATACAAAGGGAAGAGAGGGGTTCTAATCCTTGGTTAAGATCAATCATGCTTAAAGATGGTTGGGTGGGGGGAGAAGTCTAGAGTTTTGGGGAGGGAAGGAAGAGATGTAATTTAGTCTCTCCCATGTCTGCTTCAGACGTGGAAGCCTTAGCCTCAAGAGAGACTCTTTTCTTTAGCCTCCAGTCGATCAAGAGACCATGTGTAATGTTCCCATTTAGGAAAGCTTTTAGAGACTATCTTTAATAACCCTGGAATTAATGTTCGGAAGATGTCCCATTTGCTGTAGTCATTTCACATTTTCTCTCGGTGCTTTGGATTTATGACTTCTTGTTGAGTTTTTATGGTGGCGCTTTAGCGCTTGCACAGGCTGGTTGTTTTCCTGAGAAGGAGGACAACTGTCTTTATGTATGGGCTTAATCTCCCACTCTCCCGTTCCCTCTTCTTCTCTCTTCCGGCAGCTACCTGAAGCCGGATGAAGAGAAAAAATCAAAGCATAAAACAACTGTGAAGAAGAAAACTCTAAACCCGGAGTACAATGAGGTAAATAAAGGACAGCCAAAAAAGGTACTGTGTGATTGGGGGAATGAGACAGGGGGTCAGGTCCTATACATTCCTAACTTTTTATACTTATCTGCCCCATTGCAGGACTTTTTCTATGAGATTGAACAGTCAGATCTTGGTCATAAATCCTTGGAAATCACCGTTTGGGATTACGATATTGGGAAATCAAATGACTTCATTGGTGAGAAGATGGAAGAGGATCACCTAGATTTAGGGAAGGGTCATGTAGTCTAGGAGACACTGGGTGTGTTAATCTGGATTGAAAGCCTAAACCTTAATTCTGCAAGGACGTGAAGGGTCCTTAATGTTTTCTTGAGCCTGGTTGTTTTCTTGTTGACATTTCATTAACCAAACATCACTGATGTTATCTAATGATGGTGATGATAGGTAGTACTGATGATGCTACCTAGTTTGGGTAATGAAATGTCTGCAAGAAAACAACTAAGTTTAGAGAGTACCAAGGACTCCTCATTTCAAACCTGAGCTACAGATATTCTCCTTTATTGGTCTACAGGGATAGTCAGGAGTCTCTTGCTCATTCAGGAAGTTCTCAGCATTCTTCTCAAGATGCTAAAGAGGAAGTTCTAACAGTTACACTGATAATAAGGCAGGAGAATGTCACAGAAAGGATATCATGCAGGGGAGACCTTGGTGCTCTCTGAGCTTGGCTGTTTGCTTGCAGACATTTCATTACCAAACTAGGTAACATCATCTGATGTTACTGTACCTAGTTGGGTAAAACTTCATCCGATGACGTTGCCTAGTTGTGTAATGACACGACTGCAAGCAAACAACCAAGCTCGCGGGTCAGCAAGAATTCCACAGCTCCAGCTTGAGCTAAAAATATTCTTTGCTCCTGGATGTTTCACCAGCTAACAGGAGAACCAACAATTAACCAGAGACTGCATTTGCAGACTCAAAAAAAATTGTTTTTAAAGTATACTCAGAATCTCTCAAGGGAATTTGAGGGTGAGATTTCCAAACTTCATAGCCTCCTCCTCCATTCTATATAAACATTTTTAATTGATTGCACTGGGTGGGCGTGGACTGCAGTATCCCTGAAATCCTGCCCAATGACAGGACTAGGAAAAAGGGAACTCCATAACCAGCAGCTCAGAAACTGCAAGAACCTCTTGTCTCGTTGCAGGTGGGGTGACCCTGGGATTAGGGGCCAGTGGGGAGTGCCGGCAACACTGGCTCTCGTGCCTCCAGACTTCTGACTGCCGCCTGGAACATTGGCACACCCTCACCAACGAGCTCCCAGAATCCTCCACCTTTGGCCCTTGAGGCCTCCGTGATCCCCATAGAACATCACCCTTCTATCTTGCCTGCCTGCCAAAAAAAACCAACCGGAGGGGCCCAGCACCCAGAGGCCCCTCTTTTGCACGAGGATGTTTGCACGTTTCAAAACTACTTGTTGTGGGGAACCATTTATGCTATGCTCTAGGGAGGCACTTACTGTAGATGGAAGGCCACGCGTGGGGGATTAGGGGCAGATGCAGAAGGGCTGGAGAGCCGAGAAGAGCAGGAGGCATCTGACGGGCAGCCATTGGAATTGCTATGTATCCCAAATGAGCATCAGATGGGTGAAATCAAAAATAATCCCTCTGACCTTCCGGTCTTTCTCTCCCCCCTGCTCTTTTCTCTCACCTTATAGCCTAAGAGTGGTTGTGAAACGCTTCTACTTTTGTACAAATCATTGCTGGCTGCAAAACATTTTTTTTAACCTTTCAAAAGGAACAAACCGGTCAAAAGGATGAAGTAATTTTATTTTAAAATCCCCTATATTGGCTTTTTTTTTCCTCCTTATTTTTTCCACATGGGCTCTTGTTTCTCTTAACTAAGAAATGTCAGAAGCAATTAACTATAGTATTTCTGTATCATAAAAAAAAGTAATAAGCATCTGCATTGATTTTCCATATGGCTCAGTTCTTCTAATTAAGTTGCTGTCTTCAGATGCATGCTGGCTCAAGCTATGCATCCATTTTTTATTTCTGTGTCAAGCAATCACCCTGTCCATTCTATTGTTTCTAAAAGAGGGTCAGAGAAAACAACACTGTCCTCTTTATTTGCTTTAAGTTCAGTGCTCTGCTTTTTCCTTCATGTTGGCAAGCTATTCAAATCTGAAAAGATTCTGGGCACTTTGAGAGTTGGGGAGGAGGAAACCAAAAATGTCAAGTCTGAAAGGAGGGTAGAGATAGAGCTTTAGAATAGCACATGGAGGAACGCAGAATAAAGAACCACAATTTTGGGTGAAGTATAAGTCTACCAACACATTTGAAATTCACATGACCTTTTCTTGCACCCCACTAAGATGCTGCCTCAGGCTTAATTGGGGATCGATAACATATATTTCTTACTTTTATTTGTACCATGAATCTCCTTCCTGTAAATCTTTTTTTTTTTTTCATTTTTGTTTTATATCAAATAATTTGCATTAGTCTCTTTGAATTTCATCTTCATAGTTTCAGGGCAGTTTTCCATTAGTTTTAATCATATCATTCAGGAGACTTAACTATAGAACTTGTGGTTCTATAAGACTTGCAAGTTTATTAATGATTTTATCACTTTATCATTGCCATTAATAAACATGGTTAGAATTGGCAGCATCATATCTCATGTCTGCTTTACAGGAGATTTTTGAAGTTTCTCAGCCCTGAATGCACCAGACAGCAGGAGCTCACCCACACTGAACACATTTGCCAATCTAAACACAATAGGGGACCAATCACAGAATTCCCAAGTGCCATTAAGGTAGCAAACTGGGGAAAATAATTAAAATTAGTGTGTATCAGTCTCAAATTTGACATGCTGGTTTCAATGTGCCACATCTCAGGAGACCAGGGGATTCTTTCATTATGTTTTAGTGAGACCCTGATATTGTTCCAGCAAACTGGATTTCTCCCCCCCCCTTTTTTTTTTTTTGCCTATGGATCTCCTCTCCTGACAGCACAATCACCCCCCATGTTTTCTCAAAACAGTTCAGAGAACATCTGTCAATATATATCTTAACAGGCAATTCATCCAGCCCACAGAATCAAGCTAGAAATACTCTCATCCTCTGTATTAATATTGAATGGGAATCACGCTACTTAAAGCAAAGCTTTCTGTAACTTTGCTTCAGACAAATGGATTGGGCAGGTATTTTTTAACCTATCAAATGGCAAGCCTAATATTTCTTTCTCCTCCCCCTAATATAATCTCTATGATTCACTTACATTTTTGGACTGTCTACCGTTCTTCTTAGAGCCTTTCCTGTGTTTCTGTGTTTCTTCCTAAAATGTTCAGCAATTTCTTCAATGTTATTTTCCATGCAGCCACCTGGTTTTCTCAATATCTGCTACTTTTCTCTCTCTGGAATTGCTTGCAATTGTGCCTTTTTAGATGTTTGTTTAGAATGTAAACGCACTAGGTCGACCATGATATGTTTACAGAACAGGCTCAGGACCAGGGGTGGGTTCTATTACCTTCACTACTGGTTCGCAACGGGATCGCGCACCATGCTTCTGCGCATGCACAGATTGCCTATGACAACATTCAGGGTGGTGGGCAGAGCCTCCCACTGGTTTTACTACCAGTTCTTGCGAACCGGGGGCAACCCACCACTGCTCGGAACAGTCCTAACCTGGTTTGGGAAACGGGTTTGTTAGAGTTAGCAAGAGTTGTGGGGTCTGACACATGTACAGAGCAGATTCTGCCTTCCTTTTAGCCTGAATAGCTTGAACTGGTCTATCATAGACAACCAAGCTGATGATTAAAGGCAGAAATTAACGTTAAATGCAGAAATTACCATTTAGCTTATTCTTATTTTAATCACTATGTGAGCGGGAGGGTGGGGGAGAATTACCATTTGAGTTTTCTTCCCAGGGACCAAAATATCTTGGACCCCCTCAATTAAAACCACTCACTTCCTCTCTGAACAGCCTAGCTGTTCACCAAGAGACACACAGTGCTCAAGTGACAAATCTGTTTGCTTTGTAAGATGTGAATCAACGCTGAAAGAGAGGTAGCGTCTTCCATCTGTGTTTATACACAATTGTTTCACAGCCAAGTAAAGTGAGCGCTTTCATTTCTCTTAAAGCTGATTCACCCATGTGGCCTGAGAAATATTCTCTTCTTTCAACTGATAAAAAGATTATTCTTTTTTTCCTTACAATTTTTACTAGAGGACTCTTTCTTAATGTATTCCCACCAGCATTAAAAAAAATATCTGTAGCAAAAATAATGAAGCACTGCAACAAGTGTTTTCCCGAAAATAAGATTCCCCATCTTATATTTTTTTTGAACCCTGAAATAAACACTTGGCCTTATTGCCATGTGCTCAAAAGCCCGATTGGGTTTATTATCATGGGATGTCTTATTTTGGGGGAAACAGGGTAGCAACTTGTGGAGAAACCATCTGGTAAAATAAACTAAAAATGCAATTACAAAACATGGGATGTTTTCAGCTCAGCTAGAACTGTCACAAGCATTTTGAGGGTTAAACTGCATTTAAGTTGGGTGACGAGAAGTGATAGATGTCCAATGTTTACATGTACAATAGAAAGACTCCTGGTTATTGCTCTCTTCCCACCTGGACTATAGGTGGTCCTCAATTTACAACCACAATTCAACCTGGAACATCAGTCACTAAGTAAAGTAGTTGTTAAGCAAGTTTACCTTTTTCGCTGCAGGCATTAAAGCAAATCACTGTGATCATTAAGTGAATCACACAGTCGTTAAGGGAATCTGGCTTCCCTATTGCTTGTCGCAAATCAACCAAAAAAGTTGCAAACAGTGGGACACAAACTGTCATAAATACCTGCCGGTTGCCAAGTGCCCAGATTTTGATCATATGACTCTGATGGTTTTAAGTGGAAGGACCAGCTGTAAGTAATTTTTTTTCAACACTATTGTAACTTTTGAATGGTCACTAAATGAATGGTTGTTAAGTTGAGGACCGCCTGTAGATCTGAAGCAGTTTTTTTTTTTTTACAATCCCTTGAATTCTCGGGAACTTTGTTTTGCAGCAAAGTAGAGATTTTAGCTCTACCTCGTCAATGGATGTTAATTATTTCAAGTAGATTTTTCTTTACCAGTATGTAAAATGATGGCACGTCACCCAACAGGGTTAGGGAACGTCTCACCAAACTGTTAATAGCCCAAGGATTTCAGGGAAGGAAAGGAACACAGAGTGTAGAAATCACAACCGGATGCTTTTAATACAAAAACAGAAACCCCTTTATTGACTGTTTTGCATGTTTCCCCCCCCCCCGAGTCTGTAAACAAGAAATAACAAAATAAAATGGAGGGGCACCACCCCCCTCACACACAACCGAGAGGCCTCTGTCCTTTCAAATGACGCGCCGACTTTGCCACTGTCACTCAGGGATGTCGATGACCAGCTCATCGTCACCATCCAGGGGATCTTCGCCGCTTCCCTCCCCTGCATCACTGAACATCTGGTGGGGCACCGTGCTGAGGATTGTAGGGGGTGGCAGCTTGGGAGTCCCTCTGGGTGAAGGAAAAGGTAATCCCACCACGACAGAGGAACAGTCTGAGTGGGACGCTGGGGGCAGCGGGAGCTGCAGACAAGAAGAAAGAGAAAAAAACTGAGACGGATATTGGATCTTGTGGCTTTTTTTCCCTTTTTTCCTCCTCCTCCACTTTCTTTCACGGTCCCATGGAGATCTGACTTTTCACATCATCCTGACCCATAATGATGCTTTGGTTCTTTGTCCAAATCCAACCACTGGCATTTGTTAAGCGTGGCTTATGGCTTAAACCAGGAGTTTCCAAACTTGGCACCTTTAAGACTTGTGGACTTCAACTCCCAGAATTCCCCAGCCAGCTATGGTTGAGTCATTCACAAATCACAAACCACATGAGATATCCCTCAAGAGCACTCCAAGAATCTGCAGTGCCAACAATTCTCCCACCATTTTTCAACAGCTATGGGCTTAAGGGGTAAAATGGGTGCCTTTGGGCCATATGCCCCAGAAATCTTCCCCAAGAGGCAGAACAGTGGTGTGCCCAGTAATCTGAGTGACCATGTTACTACTAGCAACACCTCTACAGCTCCTGGCTTCGCTCTGAGTTCCCTGCCTTACTTTACTTTATGGGCCACTTAATGCGGGTTTAATATACCATATTATACAAACGTATCCTGGTATTTGTCAGCCCAGTCACGAAGATGGAAGGCATGGTAAAAAATTCCATAAATCAATAAGATTCTTTTCTCACAACATAATGCTGAACGACTTATAAACTCCTGAAACACAGTAACAGCTCCACTTTCATCTAGAAACTTTTTATGACTGTGGCCCAAAGCACGAGATGTTTGGATGAGTGAATATCTGCTGTAGGCGTGCAGTATTATTCACAGAACGTTTCATATAAGCCTCAAGCCATGATAGCACCAGGGTTCAAAGTTAATTTGAAGTTGAAACATAGATGCATCTTGCTTCTTTTATTATAGCTCTTATTCATCCCACTCAATCAGGGCAACTTCTCTAAGAAATAAAAAGTTTTCAGTGTTTGTTTGTAAGCTGAAACATATCCGACCTTGCACATTCATCTCACCCCCGCCCACCCAAATGTGAATGCAGTTATGAATTTAATCCAACCCTGTAGATTCCACATCCAGCATGCCCTTAAAGGAAGACTGCATATATATAGCCCTCGTCTCCATCCACCCCACCACCTTTCTTGAGGTACCTTGAGCGTGTGGGGCCTTGCTGGTCGCCGGGCAGAGCGAGTAGCGTTGCTGTCAGGCTGGGGGGGAACAGGTTCGGGCCCCAGTGCCAAGTAGTCAGAGGGGAAGGGAGCATAAGTGGGTGAATTCAGCTGGGTGGGAAAGGGATGGCGAGAGGAAAGATGGAATAAAAAAAAATATGAATGATGAGCAGGTGATTCTCCCCAGTTGGGGA